CAATCCTGGGAGAGACGGTCCTTCGCCGATCGGCCCATAAATAGCCGAGATATAGCCTTCCAACGATTTGGATTTGCATATCATTAAAATACTGGTTTTTCTGTAGTCTATATCTCTGCTTTACGGCAGTCGATCGGAGTGTGGCATATCTTTTCGTGATCGGGAGAGTCCTGCGAATCGACTGACATCGGACTAAGGGACATCCAGTTTTTCACGATTTTCGCAAAAAATCATGATGGTTACATCATGAAATTTGCCAAAAATCGGCCTCATTTTCGTAGTCGAGATTTTGATGCCGTTCGACAGTCTGGATCCTCACAATCCTGGGAGAGACGGTCCTTCGCCGATCGGCCCATAAATAGCCGAGATATAGCCTTCCAACGATTTGGATTTGCATATCATTAAAATACTGGTTTTTCTGTAGTCTATATCTCTGCTTTACGGCAGTAGATCGGAGTGCGGCATGTCTCTACGTGATCGGGAGAGTCCTCCCAATCGACTGACATCGGACTAAGGGACATCCAGTTTTTCACGATTTTCGCAAAAAATCATGATGGTTACATCATGAAATTTGCCAAAAATCGGCCTCATTTTCGTAGTCGAGATTTTGACGCCGTTCGACAGTCTGGATCCTCACGATCCTGGGAGCGTTGGTCCTTCACCGATCTGGTTCAATTTATCTGAGATATAGCCTTCCGAAAATTTGCATATCATTAAAATACTGGTTTTTCTGTAGTCTATATCTCTGCTTTACGGCAGTCGATCGGAGTGTGGCATATCTTTTCGTGATCGGGAGAGTCCTGCGAATCGACTGACATCGGACTAAGGGACATCCAGTTTTTCACGATTTTCGCAAAAAATCATGATGGTTACATCATGAAATTTGCCAAAAATCGGCCTCATTTTCGTAATCGAGATTTTGATGCCGTTCGACAGTCTGGATCCTCACGATCCTGGTAGCGTTGGTCCTTCACCGGTCTGGCTCTATTTATCTGAGATACAGCCTTCCGAAGATTTGCCTATCATTAAAATACTGTTAGTTTACTTAACTCTTCCTTTCATTTTAGCAGGTCGCACCTTCGGGTAGCTAGAAATACCTCTTGCCTTGTCGCTGAGTCAACAGTGTGGCGTCCCTTCCACTGTTCACGGACACGGGAAATGATATCAGCAGTCCCCCCATCCGCTGGGCCTCAGCTTCGTGACGCGTAAGTGAAACAGCCTATGTATAATTGTGCTTATGTTTTATAATACATATATATTCTCCTTTACAGAGGATAGAGGACCTATGCTTTGCCACAAACCGAGTCGTATCTAATTTCCCCCCGCCAGACGGAGTCATATCCAAACATTACCGAGGCGTATTCGAGACAGACCGAGTCCTATCCCAGCAGGACGGAAGCACACGCCTTCCAAGATCCGAACCTAACAAACCATCGCCTTCCTTCGACCTGGCCATCGACAACAAGGACTTTGACTGTGGCAACCAAGGGAGGGTCTACGCGGGCTACTAGACTCTAGATAGATATCGTCGTTATTAGGTTTAAGGATATACACGTCCATATATTTTGATGGTAGATACAAATGTTTTCCACTTGTTTATTTATTTATACTAAGCTAAGCTATGATGAATAAAACAATTGAAAAATCATCCTTGCTGTATCCTTTATTGGGAAAACTATACCGACTACAAAAAGGCGTAGCAAGTCCAGATCGGTTTTCAAATAGCGGAGAAAACTAAATATTTTTTATTGGGGAAAATGTCCTTGATCCTTGATAAGGACTTCATCATATCAGGGACATCTTTTCGATGAGAGGAAGCCATCGCACGCCCAGATCGGCCCACAAATAGCCGAGAAAACTGAATATGAATGGTTGGGGTTGTTCAAGTCCTTGCCGAAGGATTAAGACGATTTGTCTGATCCCTTCGGGCCATGGCGCGCACCGATCGAGCCACAAATAAGGCAGAAAACAAGATGTATTTATCTGAAGAAAAGATCCTTTATCCTTCGTCCTTGATAAGGACTCCATCAAATCAGGAACGTTTTTCCAATCTCAGGAAGCCGTCGCTAATCCCGATCGGGCTACAAGTAGCCGAGAAAACTAAGTATGTATGGTTGGGGTGGTTGGAGTCCTTACCGAAGGATCAAGGACATTTTTCGGATTACAGGGGGCCATGACACACACCGATCGGTCCAGAAATATGGGAGAAAAGAAAATATATATGTCTGGAGTAAATATCCTTGATCCTTGGTCCTTAATAAGGACAGCATCATACCAGGAACATTTTTCCGAACAAAGAAAGCCGTCGCACGCTCAGATCGGCCCGTAAAAAGCAGAGAAAATGAAAAATGTTGATCCTTGATATCCTTTGTCCTTGAAAAGGACTTCATAAAATCAGGGAGATTTTGCCGACCACAGGAACTCGTCGCCCGTCCCGATCGGGCCACAAATAACGGAGATAACAAAACTATTCTGTAATTTGCTATTTTTGAAAATGTAGTTCAAGAAATCGCCGAAAGGGGCGCCACCGTACCAAAAAAAAAACTCGTATCAAATGACTGGAATACCAGGCGAACAGAAATCAGCAGAAGGTCGATGATTTTTTAAAAATTGGAGCCCCCTAAAGTATGCTGCGATTTTTTGCGATTGCTGCAGTTGCTTGCTGCTGATTTCTGTTCGCCTGGTATTTCAGTCATTTGATGCGATTTTGTTTGTTTGTACGGTGGCGCCCTTTTCGGTGATTTCTTGAACTACATTTTCAAAAATAGCAAATTACAGAATAGTTTTGTTATCTCCGTTATTTGACGCCCGATCGGGACGTGCGACGACTTCCTGTGGTCGGCAAAATCTCCCTGATTTTATGAAGTCCTTTTCAAGGACAAAGGATATCAAGGATCAACATTTTTCATTTTCTCTGCTTTTTACGGGCCGATCTGAGCGTGCGACGGCTTTCTTTGTTCGGAAAAATGTTCCTGGTATGATGCTGTCCTTATTAAGGACCAAGGATCAAGGATATTTACTCCAGACATATATATTTTCTTTTCTCCCATATTTCTGGACCGATCGGTGTGTGTCATGGCCCCCTGTAATCCGAAAAATGTCCTTGATCCTTCGGTAAGGACTCCAACCACCCCAACCATACATACTTAGTTTTCTCGGCTACTTGTAGCCCGATCGGGATTAGCGACGGCTTCCTGAGATTGGAAAAACGTTCCTGATTTGATGGAGTCCTTATCAAGGACGAAGGATAAAGGATCTTTTCTTCAGATAAATACATCTTGTTTTCTGCCTTATTTGTGGCTCGATCGGTGCGCGCCATGGCCCGAAGGGATCAGACAAATCGTCTTAATCCTTCGGCAAGGACTTGAACAACCCCAACCATTCATATTCAGTTTTCTCGGCTATTTGTGGGCCGATCTGGGCGTGCGATGGCTTCCTCTCATCGAAAAGATGTCCCTGATATGATGAAGTCCTTATCAAGGATCAAGGACATTTTCCCCAATAAAAAATATTTAGTTTTCTCCGCTATTTGAAAACCGATCTGGACTTGCTACGCCTTTTTGTAGTCGGTATAGTTTTCCCAATAAAGGATACAGCAAGGATGATTTTTCAATTGTTTTATTCATCATAGCTTAGCTTAGTATAAATAAATAAACAAGTGGAAAACATTTGTATCTACCATCAAAATATATGGACGTGTATATCCTTAAACCTAATAACGACGATATCTATCTAGAGTCTAGTAGCCCGCGTAGACCCTCCCTTGGTTGCCACAGTCAAAGTCCTTGTTGTCGATGGCCAGGTCGAAGGAAGGCGATGGTTTGTTAGGTTCGGATCTTGGAAGGCGTGTGCTTCCGTCCTGCTGGGATAGGACTCGGTCTGTCTCGAATACGCCTCGGTAATGTTTGGATATGACTCCGTCTGGCGGGGGGAAATTAGATACGACTCGGTTTGTGGCAAAGCATAGGTCCTCTATCCTCTGTAAAGGAGAATATATATTATAAAACATAAGCACAATTATACATAGGCTGTTTCACTTACGCGTCACGAAGCTGAGGCCCAGCGGATGGGGGGACTGCTGATATCATTTCCCGTGTCCGTGAACAGTGGAAGGGACGCCACACTGTTGACTCAGCGACAAGGCAAGAGGTATTTTTAGCTACCCGAAGGTGCGACCTGCTAAAATGAAAGGAAGAGTTAAGTAAACTAACAGTATTTTAATGATAGGCAAATCTTCGGAAGGCTGTATCTCAGATAAATAGAGCCAGATCGGTGAAGGACCAACGCTCCCAGGATCGTGAGGATCCAGACTGTCGAACGGCATCAAAATCTCGATTACGAAAATGAGGCCGATTTTTGGCAAATTTCATGATGTAACCATCATGATTTTTTGCGAAAATCGTGAAAAACTGGATGTCCTTTATTCCGATGTCAGTCGATTTGCAGGACTCTCCCGATCACGTAGAGACATGCCGCACTCCGATCTACTGCCGTAAAGCAGAGATATAGACTACAGAAAAACCAGTATTTTAATGATATGCAAATCCAAATCTTCGGCGGGCTATATCTCAGCTATTTATGGGAAATTTCTCAATTTTGCACTACAAAACCGTCAAATGCTGTTGGAAGTAACAGATGATAAAAGAGTAAACTTGGATGTATATTTTAGTATTGTATTGGAGAAGCCAATACAATAGTTAAGCCATCCGTAGGGCATGGTCATACTCGGCCACTAGCGATCTGATTACTATGATTTAAATGATCTTTACATTATTGCTATCGATGAAAATGTCGTAATATGTTTTGGTGCAAATCGTTTGGTTCAATTTATCTCAAGTAGTTGGACTGTTTAAATAGAGGGGGCGTAGTGGGCGAAGTTCGTTTTTCCATCGGTATATTTACGGTATATTTTGAAAATGAGATGGAATATTTAGGTATATTTCTGATGGACAGACCGTATATTTTATCGAAAAATCTCTCGGTCACAGCAGGCAGACGACAAGACGAACGTCGAAATTTTCGACACGAATATTTGTGGACTAGCAATAAATTTGTAAAAAAGTTAACACCATGTTGAAAGCCGTGTCGCGTGCATATGTGCGTGGCGGTGCCCAGGCACTGTCTACTGGCCTCAAGACGAGCGGCGCTGCTGTCAATACTATTGGTAAGGCGAAGGCCCATCGTGAAAAACATTCATTACATAATGAAAGGAGTGCGGAAAAGATCAATTTCCTGCGTTGGCTCATCGGGAATGCGGTTTAGCCAATTATTCATGGATATCTAACCAGATTTGGCAAATTTCCTTACGTAATTTCGACATAACCTCGCCCTTCGTCAGGAAAATGAAAACAACTTCTGTGCGAATGAGTGTGTGAGGCACAGACAAAAACGCTGATACACTTGCAGACCAGGCCCTTTTGCCAGATTCGTACTGACCCGATTCCCTACTTTCAGCTAGCCGCCAGGCACACACCGATCTGCAAGTGCCCGACTTCACCGCCTACCGTCGCGATTCTGTCAAGGATAGTCGCCGTCGCAATGAGTCCGCCGAGGAGCGCAAGGCATTCTCCTACCTTCTGGTTGGTGGCGGAGCCGTTGGAGGTGCCTATGCTGCCAAGGGTTTGGTCAATGCCTTCCTGGGATCGATGAGCGCCTCGGCCGATGTGCTGGCCATGGCCAAGATCGAGATTAAATTGGCGGACATCGCCGAGGGCAAGTCCGTGACATTCAAATGGCGTGGCAAGCCGCTGTTCATCCGTCATCGTACTCAGGCCGAGATTGATACGGAACGGGGTGTGCCCACATCGTCGCTTCGTGATCCGGAAACTGATGATGTATGTACTGCCTGGATCTTCCCCTGAAACTCTGGCTAATTGTGTCTACCATCTCTTTCAGCAACGCGTCATCAAGCCCCAGTGGCTGGTGGTTATTGGCGTGTGCACGCACTTGGGATGTGTGCCAATCGCGAACTCTGGTGACTTCGGTGGCTACTATTGCCCTTGCCACGGCTCTCACTACGACGCATCGGGCCGCATCCGCAAGGGACCGGCGCCCCTGAACCTGGAAGTTCCCACCCACGAGTTCCCCGATGAGGGCACCCTCATCGTTGGTTAGAAACATTTACAGTGTTATCGTTTAAGCCCCGCAGAAGAAAACCAACAAAATAGTGAATGGATTGATGTAAATTAATAAAAACAACCAAACAGAAGTTCTGAGCGCAAACGAACATTTATTCGAATTGCATTGGAATCCGAATCGCGATCAAGTGAAGTGTGGCAAGTGTGAACAAACAACAATGAAGATGGAAGGAAGCTCATGGGTATCCCAGACTAGAGGCTGTATAATCCTTTAATGACTAATCCTAATAACACTCAACCGGATGAAACATACAAATTATCACCCCCGTTTCTTTAATTCCTCAATCTCCAGTTCGAGCAGTTGGTTCTTCAAGCGCAGATGCTGCAGCTCCAACTGCTGCTTCTCCATCTCAATTCGGTGCGTCTCTGCAAGTCTAGTGTTCTCATCTCGAATGTAGTCCCTTTGCAGCTTTATCAGGGAAAACTTTTCCTTCCACAAGTTATTTCTTCCTTCCTATAAGCCACATTTTATCTTGAAGAAATTTGTATTTCAAATAGGCAAGGAAACTAACCTGAGTACTTTCGGAATAGTTTGCTTCATATTGGTGCTGGCTCGGCGCCTGATTGTGGCTTCCTGCAAAGAAGAGGTACAATTATTCTTATTGCAAAGGTGTACATGGGTTTGCCACGGGTACTTGCCATCAGAATCATCGTCTGGTGAAGGATTGAGGCTTTCTGAAAGGTAAGAAAATAGATGAATGAGTTCCTCTCCTTTTATTTGAAAATGAAACAGAAGTACGCACCATTGGCATAGTTTTCTTCTTCTGACAGCGGAGGAAAGTGACAAGTCGGCGTGACACCGCCTTTCCTTCCTATTCGCATTGGTATATTTATCACGAAGCGCCACCCACGTACGAGCGACACCTGATTGAGTGCAGTACTCTTCAGCTATTTTCACCCAAGTCTCGGATTTCAGCTTCCAGGTAGCCGTATAACTCTTCTTGTTCAACAGTACATCCTTGTGGTTATCCACCAGCTGAAAAAGTATGCGCACCTCTGCCTCCGAGAAGTTTTTTCCACGGGATCTTTTCAGCATTCTTTCCATTGTTGGATTTGGTTGTTGCAAACAAAAAACAGCTGTGTCTGTGGCGTTGCCACCTCGCTGAGTTGGGCCTAAGCAATTGGATTGCATTTTTGAAATGTACATGTATTCATGTGTAAGCGTATAAGTATTCGAATAGATCACCAATTTATTTACTTTAATGTTTAAAAAACATTTAAATAAGATGGCATCTGGCAAATGATTCGGTGCTACTATTTCCAGCGATCTGGCAGCGCCCTTAATTGTTTTGTCGTCATCGACTGTTTTTGCAGCCCTATTTTGTATGTTATTGTCTGTCCTTGTTGATACGCGTTAAATTCCCATTCAAATGGCAGAGGAAATTGATGACAACGACTTTTATCGCGAGAACTTCAGCGCCGATTCGGACTGGGAGGTGTTCAATGCCCAGCTGGGTGAAATACTCCAGAAATGGGACGTCACTGCCAGCGGTGATGTTGGCAGATCTTTGAAGCCCGAGGAAATCTTTCGCTGCAAGTGGAAGGTTGAAAGCGAGACCCTGGATATGCTAAGCAACGGCATTGAGGTGGAGCACTACCAGGCACACTTGGAGGAGGACGAAATTAAGGAGGAGATAAAGGAGAATAGATGCCCGCAGCGAACACAATGCCATCAGGATCTGATGAGCAGCGGGAACAGCTTTGGTCCGCCCATTCGTAGCAGCTCCAATGAGCTGCACACTCTGGCCCGAATATATGGTCTACGGCGCTTCATTGTCCTCCATCCGGTCAATGCCAGCGTCAACTACATGAAGTCCACGGCGGAATTTAATTTCTTTCTCAGTGCCGCTGCAGTTGTGGCCGCAGAGGTGGGAAGTGTTGTGCCCATCTTTGTGCAGATCTACGATCCCAAGTGGAATTTCTTCACGGGTGTGTCGCCGGCGCCTGCCCTGAGGACCAACTTCCGCTTGATTGGCCTGGAGAAGGCCCCGCCCGAGTGTCGCTACTTGATGGGTCTGCTGACGCTGTTTAGGGAGAAGGTTCCTGCCTCGTATCCGCAGTCTGCCATGGTCTCTGTCTGCACCACCTACGCCCTGGACACGATGCGCATTCGAATGCCCATGTATGTGCCCTTCGATTATGGCCTTAACTCCGAGGACATAGTTGTGGCTGGACAAGTGGCCCATGTGGATGTTCAACAGTTTTATGCCCTGCCACATGGCTATAAGCCCGAATCCTGCACAGAGATCTATCTGGTCTACACCTGGCCGGAGCTGTCCGAGCACGTGGCCTTCGACAGCGAGCAGAGGACTGACTTCATACCCTCCAAGGCGCCGCTAGGCAAGGTTTATCTCTCTGTCGAGGCCTCTTCTTATCTCTCGTGCTGCCTGAGGGACTACCAGGCTGTGGCCAGTGTCACTCGTTCTCTGGAGTCCTTCGTGGGACGCAATTTCTCTGGAACCAGCAGCGGTGCTGAAGGCATCAATCCTTTGGATAAACTTACAGAACGCCAGCTGACCAAGCGACGGGATCGCAACTATGAGATGCCTTCTCAAGAGGGTCTAACGAAGCGTCTGCCCGGTCCGATGACCGAGAGTGAGTTGAGCGAACTGCTGGCCTACATGTTTCCCGATATGCATCCCGAAATGGCCTTGTACCCATATGTCAAACAGAGTTTCAAGAATAAGGTGGGTGCTTCTCATGCGCATATCATTTGAGAGCCGATCCTTGTTAATCCTTCAACTCCTTCCAGTTCGATCCAATGCGCATTAAGAGTGCCGTTCCCGACTCTTTGGTCTGTCGCCTCAGCTGCCTCCTGGCCACATGTCATGCCCATTCGGGCGGCCTGGATGGCATGGCCCAACTGTGGGCCGCTTTCACCCGTCAGCTGCGTTTGCTGTGGGACAACTCCCTAGCCGTACCCGGGTGAGTCCGCCATCCACCCACACAATCAGCAATGCCCTCAAATCGTAACAAAAATATGCTTTTTATTCGGAACTTGATGCGTACGAAACCAAAACAGAAACGAAACATCTGGTAAACGTTCTAGTCTAGTCTAAATTTAGTTTGCTAATCTGTGAAGCCGCAAAGTTAACATTCGAATTGGATTTACGTGTAACAATTTAACGCACATTTAAATATCTAACCGGTAGGTCTAGTAGGGATCGGAATCCTCCGCTATATCGCTTGGTGTCTGTCGTCATCGGTGTCTTCGGTGTGGCTAGAGATGAGCAGTCCAAGCACTCGAAGGAAGGTTTCTCCTTGAAGGAGATCTTCCTCTGGCACGAGTACAATTTTCATTGATATTTTATACACTTTGTTGTTTGTTTGTTAGCTGGCAGTATCTGTTATAAGTACATATTGCTCATCTCATCTCCTCTCCTCTCCGGTTGGGTTTGTTCAAGTGCAACTAAATCTAAATCTAAGCACGTGCTTGCTCTTCTACTCGTATATCGTACGAGTACCTCCTATATCATACCTTCTCCAGGTGCTAAGGCAGTTGAATACTCTAATGGTTTCCTTCTTGCTTCTTGCTTAACACTAAATTTGATTTAACTTTGTTCTTATAATATGTTTGTTGTTTTTGTTGGGATTGTTTGGATATTGTTTCCTCTACGTTTTCTTTTGCTTGCTTTACAAGTGAAACATGAAACATTACATATTACTATACGATTTTCTTTGAATTTATTGCCTAAAGTTTATTGGAATATTTGTTGTTGTTGTTCTTGTTGTTCGTCTAAATAATTGCTCCCGTTTTCCACCTAAATTGTGCTTACATATCTAATGCTCAAAGCCATGTCTATAACCGTTGTCTTATCGTTAGAATCAGTATATATAGTAGAGTATATAGTATAGATCGATACATATATTTGCTTACTTCACTAAGTATTCAGTGCCAGACCGGGGCGTTGTTATTGGTTCTCCGCGAAGAGATCCCGCCCAGGGGCACTAAATATTGTTAACTGTCAACTGCGTCCGGACTTGCCCGGACTGTTTGCCCGGGCTCGTCCCTCGATATCGTTCGACATCGATATATCGATAATGCTAAGAAATTAAATCGTTTAAAACGCCTAAAACTATCTTCCATATGTATATACAAAGATGTACAGAGGCTTGACTTTAGTCTCAAATGGGATGAAAATAAAAAAGTGATCGATAATTTTAAAATATTAACTTTATTAAAATCTCACTAAAAAGTAGAAGGAAATCATAAACATAATCGTACAAGAACGTAGCACACAAAAATGTTTCAATTGAAGCTTCTGTACAAAAACGAAATGAAACAATCCTTAAAAAACTGAAACTGACTTTTAAACCGTTTTTTGGAGGGCAGTAAAAATGGTATTGGTTGAAATGAAGAATCTGTTTATAGCTGGGATAGACAAACATAGAATGAAATTCATATATAGAGAAGAAATAAGAATGAAATCGTTTGGGGGTTCTAGACTTTTAGACTAGAGAGTGTTTCTGTGTGTGTCAGGGGGGAATTCGTTGGAATTGCTTGTTAAAGGTTTTTAGATCCTGTTTATAATAGTACCTTAGAGGAGGTATCTCCCCATACATACGAGTACATGATAGTTATTTACATACAATCTATTGCGTTGTTGTGCTCTCTCAGCGACTTCTATGCGGTGTCTATCCCAGCATAAAGAAAAGTACATATTCCATTGCTAAGCCTAAACATTAGTTAAACAGATTTAATAGCTATTAAGTATAATTAGTACCATATTGACTTAAGGTTTAGTTCTTTGATTGCTTAACATCTGGTGTTTCTTCATCTCTTCCAACAACTAATCGCAAATCGCAAATAGCAAAAAAGAAGAACTACGGAAAGTATTTATTGCACTCTAAACAGCATATAAAAATATCGTATGTATCGTATGTGTCGTCTACTCCTACTCGTAACTCTTGCATATATTCCATTGTGTGTGTGTGTGTGCCTTCCATTATGCAAATCTCAAGATGCCGCATGCGACAACAGCAACAATCTGAAGGGGCAGAATATCAGAATCAGAATTGCACTTAAAGCTTGGCCCTGTCTGCCACTGTGACTGCCACTGCCACTGCCACTGTCTCTGCATCTACCACTGCCTCTGTGTCGGGATTGGGGTCGGTGTCAGCCAATGTCAAGTTCAGAGACAAGGCCACATCCTGCCCAGCTGCCTCGTGCTGCTGCTGCTGCTGCCGCTGCACTTGCTCAATGCTTGACACCGAGGTGCTGGCAGCCAAGGATGAGGCCTCTGCCTCACGCTCTCTATCTCCATTTCCGTCTGTCTCCGTCTCCGTCTCTGTGTCTGCCCCATCCTGGCTGCCGGTTGTTGTTGCTGTTGTGACTGTGGCAGTCTCCTCTTCGCTTAGGCTACAATTACATGTACAATTACAGTTATCACTAAACGTATGCGCCTTATAATTGTTGCTAGTTGTTGCTGTGGCTGCTGCCGTTGCTGCTGCTGCTGCTGCTGCAGCTTCTACATCATGATTATTATATAAAATATTGTTAGACGTTGCCGTTGCCATTGCCATTGCAACGGGTAACTGTAAACGAAAGGCATTGCTGCGGGGAATGTGGCATGTGGCTGCCGTGATGCTGCCACTGTTGCTGCTTCTGGTGCTGCCCCTGTTGCTATTGTTGTTGCTGCTGCTGCTGTTGCTTGTGGGATGATGATAAATGATTTCCTGACGTTCATATTCGTTAAAATAATTCTCCACAACAATGCCACTTGCTGCCGTGGCAGCTGCTGCTGCTGCTGCCGCCTGCGCTGCTGTGGCATCTTCTACGGTGGCGGCTGTCAACGCGGCCGAAGGCGCATGTGGCAGGTTGTTGCTGCTGCTGTTGGAGGAGATATTGCTGTTGCTATTATGGAAATTGGCGGCTCGGGGCACCACATCGGGTGGCGAGGTGCATCGCTCTGTTTGTGGCATATAGTAATGTAATCGTTGTTGTTGTTGTTGTTGCTGTTGCTGTTGCTGTTGTGGTTGTTGATATGGCTGCTGCTCCAATTGCTGATTGTTTCTATGTCGCTGTTGTTGTTGTAGCTGTTGTAGTTGTTGCTGATGCTGCAGCTGATGCTGCAAATGTTGCTGTTGCTGCTGCTGCTGCTGCTGATGTTGCAAATGTCTACCATTTCTGCGCTGCTGCTGCTGTTGCTGCTGACGCCGACCATCCCTTGTGGCAACACTCCCCTCGATGGCCGGCGTCAGATATTGTCAGAAAATGCCATCCAGATTTAATACAACATTGAAATATCAGGATAACGTAAGCCGCCCTCATAATGGCACTAGACCGTTGCGCGTTGTCGGATTGCGCGCCATATAGATGTCCATATCGTGATCGGTCCAGTTATCCGACGTATCGCAGTAGTTGTTCAACGTGTGCGTTGAGCCCGACTGCGAGTATCTGCAATTGTGGCAAGTACATCGATTATATCACACACTCTGCCATACTGCCACTCTGCCACTCTGCCAGCAGCAGAAGTGCCGCAGCATTGCCCCATGATTTGTGGCGGTAAAAATGGCGGTGCAATCCAAGCGAAACGCAATTAAAATTAATGGAATCAGTAAATATAAGCCGGGAGAGGGCCAGCCAGAGAGCGGTGTTAGGTGGTGAAAGGATTTGTGGCTTAAATCCACATGCATGCCCCATGCCCAATGCCCCACAGAATTTACAGACAGATGAAAGTTTCATTTGATTTGATTTCAGCGATGAATAGTCGATCGGGTCTCCAATCAAGGTTGAGATGGTGATGATAATCGTAATGAAAGTGAATTAAATGAGGGTTGTCTGCGGATTTAAGTTTTAATCACTTTGGGGTTAGTGGTTCCGATTATAGTTTGATTTGTTTAAAGGAAAGGTTCTTTAAATACTTCTTCGACCGATTAAGTGCTTCTGTCGAGAGACTGGAGTACTGGGTATCTTGGTGTCGAAGCCCGAAGCCGCAACCCCCCACATGTTTTTAAATGTGCCATAAATTCCCTTCAATATATCTACTTAATGGCTGAATCTTGAATTCTGAAGCGCACTTCAACAGAAATATCAACAGTGAGAGTGCTGCGAGGGGGTCGAGTAGTTGGCATTTAAAAAACTTGATTTTCGAACGCCTCTCAGAGCCCGACACTTTCCCATGGTAGCCCGCGCGATACTTAAGAAATGCTAATTAAATGAATTGCCAAGCCAAAGAGCCATAAACCAAAGAAACGTAAAAGTAGAATTGAAAGTGGGATTGGTGGTGGAGTCGGCTTAAGATCTCAAGATCTCAAGATCGGAATGGTGACAGACAGAATGTCTGGTGTTGGTGTGTGTGCGTGGGGGGGAGAGTGTGAGTGTTTGCTTAATTAGTTGCCACTCGCATCCGAGTCTGTGGCATGCGGCAGATGTGTGACGTTCTACTTACCGACTTCCCGGTCGATGGTTATGTATGTGCGTGGCATTGAGCTGATCGCGTGATCTGGAGCGCGGACGCGAGCGTCTGGCGCTGGAGGCGATGCTGGCGGGTCCGCCGCCGCCCACCATGCCGCTCATGCTCATCAGGCTGCTCACGGGCAGGCCACCGGGACCCCCCATTTGCATGCCGCCGCCACCCCCGCCGCCCCCATTGCCGCCGTGGATGGAGCCGGCGTAGGAGGCGCGCGACATGCGCTCCGAGGCAGCGGCCAGGGACTGGCGGGACTGCCGCAGCTCTGGACGCGAGTTGACCAGGTTCGAGGGGAAGGCGCTACCCAAATAGCCGCGATGCGAGTTGTTCGAGAAGCTGTGCTGCGACTGGCCATCGGCAATGGATCGACTGTGATTATGCATGTGTGTGTCGTGTGTGTGTGTGTGGGTCGATTCGGATGTGTGGCACGAACAAACAATGAAACAAACATAACGAACGCAATATTAAATCATAGCTGAATGGAAACGAAGAACGACGGCCCCATCAAATATGCAGCAAGCTCAATGTGGGGCAAGCCAATGTTGGGCCACGCCATGGAAGGTGCGCTTCGATGGGAAATGTCTGTGGGGTCCGTGGAGTCTTACCTTGATTTCCCCACTTTGCCGGGCATTCCGGAAAAGTGGCTGCGCATGTCGTCGGGCTGCTCGACGGGATAGATGCGGGGACGCGGTATCGAGCGTCCACTGTACGCGGATACTTGATCCCATTCCTGGAAAGGAAGAGGAAGAGATTAATCGATTCGATTATTGAAATTAATTAGAATGGAATTGGAATGAGTCCCAGTGAATCCTTCTGATGTGTGAAAAATCCTTCTAGGTTCTTGGTTTCTTGGGAGTGTTCCTCCAGCCTCTGTCTCTGGAATCCACTGATGTTTTCCAATCAGAGTTTGTCCCCATTCTTCATTCATTCTCCTCGGTACTCCTTCTTTTTTCCATTCACTCCCAGTCTCGTTAAAGTCCTTCGTATTTAGGCCACAAAAATGTCATTCTAGCATTCTTCCAATCGCTCGTAGGTCTTCAATCTTTTCGAAGACCTAAACACTGGCTTCATTCTCTATTATTTAATCTATATATCGTCTCCAGCTTAGATCCCATTAAAAATTCTACACAATCATCCACACATTTATTCCCATTAACTTTTTGGCAACGCAACCTTGCCAAAAAAGAAGACGAAGATCAAGCATATCCGAAATACTTTCAGTATTTATCTACGCTGCGGTCCGTTTAATTTGTGGAGAGCCGTAAATACCCGTACAATCAACAGCCATCAAATCGCGGTGCTGCCAATTTTCCCAGTCATGGTCCGAACATCTAACCGGGGCCAGAGCCAGAGCCAGAGCCCGAAGCCCGGAGCCAGAGATAATTTCTTGGCAGGCTGCATAAAAGTGGAACTAAACCGAGTCGAACGATGGTATGGTTTGGGGCATGGGGAGGGGAGGCTCACCTTGTGATTGTTAAATGCCGATAGCGTTGCAATGGAGCCAAGTGGTCCTGGGGAACCGGTCGGACCGCAGCAATTAACAGGCAGTCCTCCAATTGGCAGTGGGCTCTTCTGTTGGCTGTTCTGGAGCTTGCGCGAGCGCCTGCAATGGGAGAAAGAAATGCGATGAGAATGGTTTAGAAGGGGTTCGAAGCTTAGAATACCCTGGTAGAAAATAGAGGAGGTATTTCAAGGATTGAAGAAGGAAATCTGCTGTTCCAAGCTGTGCCACTAAAGAGATGCTGTTTCCAAAAAGGATATACTCTCTCTCTTGCGGGGTATAATGGGATTGGATTGTGGTTGATGTGGTGGGACCAAGAAGGATGATGAAGTAAGCAGATAGCTTAAATAGAGCCAAAGCGTAACAAATGCAATCGAGAGAGAGAGAGAGAGCAAGAGAGAGGGAGGAACCCATGGCGTGGCAACAACTTAAGGACCTGCGATAAATCAGCCAGCCACTTTGGCCAGTCATTGGCTTTGTCTGTGGCTCTGCTGTTGTTAGCTACGGCCCCATAACTCACGGCCAGTGGAGCACAGTGGGGACTCACCTGCTGGCAGCAATGAACACAATCACGGCCACAATGATGGTGCCACAAATGGCCGCACTGGCCGCAATCGTTATCTTGTCCATGTTGGAGGCCTGCGAGGCCACAGTGCGGACCTCGCGGCACTGCTGGTACGGCACCGTCTCGGGGGTCACGTGCAGCTCCTCCAGCGAGATCACGCACACGATGATGCACTCCTGGGCGGGCACATTCTTGATCTTGAACTCCCGCTCGCTGGCCTCCAGCGGCGGTCCCTGCTTGAAGGCCTTCTCCCCGAACAGGCGGTAGACCACGCGGAAGCCCAGGATGTTGGCGGTGTCCGAGTCCCACTGGATGATCACGGAGCTGTCCTGGCGGAAGGCGTGCTTCACCTGCACCTCGTTCGCGTCGTCGATCCGCGTGCCCCTCTGCGGCGGATAGCCCAGCACCAGCGGCGGTCTCTGCGGCTTGTGCGGTCCCCCGTTGTTGTTCACTCCCTGACGCCAGCCCGGCGCCTGTTTGCTGTTCGCTTGGACACCCGACGCAGCCGAGGAGGAGGAGGAGGAACTGCTTGTGGTGATGGTGGTGGCCTGGACGGTTCCGGTGCCGTTTGCGGATAGGTTTGTGGCCGCCGAGGGCGGGGCAGTGCTGGCTGAAACGCTTGCCGTTGTCTTGGCCGGAAGACGCGTCTGTCAAAGCGAAGGAAAGAGTATTAAAATCCACATCGAAAGTATCCCAGCATCCTTCCGACACTCACCGTACTCGAACGCTTCGTTGTTGGCTCTTCTGTGGTTGTTGTGCTTGTCGTTGTCGATGTCGTTGTGGTTGTGGAGCTGCTCACACTGCTGGCCACCGGCGAAGAGGCAGCTGTGCCCGTGCCCGTGCCCGTCCCCGTTTCATACTCCACGGAATCCACGGACGACGAGGCCAACGTTGGCTTTAGGTTATCGGCCAGGCCAACTGGACCGCGGAGCGCCGCATCGGCAATGTCCGGACAGCTCAGCTCCTCGGGCTGTATGGAGTAGAAGCCACGGTCCCGGAAACGCGGTGGGGTGCCACAGAACTGTGGATTGCGCTCTCGTGATGTGACCTAAGGGGCAGGGCCGTGGCCGGGGGGAGGATTGAAGTGTAAACACACAATGGGAAAGTTAATGAAACGTACAGGAACAAATTGGGTGCGGTGGGAGGAGATCTAAGCGGAACTAGATTTATTGAAAGAATGTTCACGGAAAGAAACTTCGAAGTGAAAAGAAAATACATTCATTGGCCATGAAATCCATGAAACATAAGAATCCTCGCTTGATTCCTTATTTCAAGGACCTTTTTAGCTACATAGAAAACTCCCCTCCGAACGGACATTCTTTCAAGCACTGTCCCGCATTTCTCTCAGTGTAATCCTTACCTGCAGGTCCCCGTTGCGTATCCACTCGGCTACCCATCGGAGCTTGCAGTCGCAGTGGAGGAATCGGCCCCCCAGCGACAGGCCACGCAGCGTGGCGTTCAGATGGGCAAAGGCGCCCTCGGGCACGGAGCTCAGCGGGTTGCCGTCGAGGGCGAGGAGGGTGATGCCCGGGTTGCCACGGAAGGCTGCCTCCGGCAGGCTGGTCAGCAGATTGAAGCCAATGTCCAGGACGCGCAGCTCCTTCAGGGAGTGCACGGCCCCGATGGGGAACTCGGCCAGCAGATTGTTGAGCAAACTCAAGGAGCTGAGCGTCTTGCGTACCCCCGCGAAGGCCGTCTCGCCAATGCTCTGGATGAGATTCCGCTCGAGATTCAGGGCAGTGAGGGCATCCAGGCCGTCGAACACCCGTATGCCGCCCGCTCCGGGCAGCTCCTTGATGCCGTTCTGGGACAGATCCAAGAAGGCCAGGCTCTTGAGCCCCCTGATGCACTCGGGCACTCGTCGCTGCTTGGTGCCCTTCAGGTTGAGGTTCTTCAGACTCTGTTCGAGTCCTCGGAAGGCGCCCGCCGAGAGGGTCACATTGTTGTCGTTCAGCTTGAGGGTCGACAGCTTGCTCAGGCCGCTGAAGGCATCGTCTGGTATGTGGGTGAGCTGGTTCTTGGACAGGTCCAGCAGATTGAGCTTGCCCAGCAGCTGCAGCGCCTTCACCGGCACATCGCTCAGCAGATTGTCCTGCAGATTGAGGTTCCGCAGCACACCCTCCTGGCCCCGGAAGGCGCCCTCCGCAATCCGCTTGATGCCGCAGCTCGAGAGCTGCACATTGTGCAGGCTCAGATTGCTGAAGATCGCGTCCGGGAGTTCCGATATCGAGGAGTTGTTCACGTACAGCAGATCCACGGGCTTCAGCCGGGCATGGGTGTTCATGGCCCCCAGAAGGTCTTCGAAGTTCACCTGGAAAGAGATTATTGATTGAACTAAAGGGCTAGGAGGGGGGAGGCTGGTGTTTCCTTACCTGGTCACACTGCACGCTCAGTTCCCTGCCCAGATTGTAGGCACATATGCAGCTGGTCTGCAGGTCGGGCACATCCCTCTGCCAGGGACATTGTCCCGCCGCCTGGGCCACCCAGAGGAGTAGCAGGAGCAGGGGCGCTATCGTCGTTGTGGCTGTCGTTGTTGTTTGGCTGCCTCTCATCTTGGTGCCGGCATAGAGCTGTGGACAAAAGACAAATTTGCTGTTAGATTTGCTGTTGGAGAGTGGAGCGGCATCAAGTGAAAAAGTGAAGGTTGTCTGGTCCAGTTGGGTCATAAATTATCCAATTAATGCTGTCGCCTGTCCACCGGCCAGGACTCGAGGCACCCCTGCCACATCTTGAGAGAGTGGTCAAGACAGGAGGATACCATGGAGAGTGCTTGGGTTGGGAAGAAGGCTTTATCAATCAGTTTGGCAGGCTACTACTTTCAATTTCATTTTCATGCTCTTTAGACACCAAACAGTGCGTGAAAGGAGGAGGGGCATAGAGGGCATGGGGCATGGGGGATGCTGATCCTTGGGGCAGTTTAGTTTTGATTAATTTGCCTGTCTGCCTGTCAAACGAGGTGCTTCATAGCCTCAGCCTCAGCCCCAGTCACTCTTCTGCAAGGCCATAAAAAAAGGGAGTGAAAAGAAGTGATGGAGAAGACCTGCTACTGGGCACCCAGTAAATCCTTTTCAAAGTCCCACCTCCGCAAAAAAAAGTGTTACGCGGCGCAGCTTCTTTTTTGTTGGCCATTTAATTTAATTTGAACGAATCATAAAAGAGCCAAGCACGTGATGGCCTGCCCTCTCACGGAACCCAATCAAACAATGGGTGAAAGGTTAGCAAAAAAAACAAGGGAGGGGGGAACCAGAAGCTGTTGACCTTTTTGCATAATCATGAGTTATGATGACATTCGTTTTTCCTTGCCTTTTCCCCTCCCTTTTGGTTTTTTTTTTCGGTGGTTGTCATTGTTGCGGCCAAACTTTTGTTTTGGTTGCCTTTCGGTGGAGAGTTCTTTGTGTTCTTTGGATTATTGTTATATTATGGGATCTTCAGGGCACAGAAAAAGGTGCTGGCAGATGACAGGTGAATGGACTCTTGGGTTTGTTATTTTGGGTACTCGTAAGTAAATCAAGATGGGAACAAATAAGCAAGATGTTGGCTGGTTTTGGGGGAATCTTCGTAAATATAATTAGTAGATATTACAGGTTCTGCTTCTTAAGGAATTTTTGGATTTAGAAAGGTATGAATATGGCTTAATTTGTAATCAGTTTTTGTTTGTAAGAAATTCGTTTAAATTCCTTAAAGTGTTCGCCTCGAGTCCACTCCATTTTAATCATTTGGAAGACCAATTATTCATTGTTTTGCTACCACTTTAAGTGCCTTAAATTATCCGTAAACGTATGTAAAATATTTCCCTGCACAGTTCAACAATCTTAGATATTTGCATGCCAGCGACGATCCCCCTCCATCTTATATAATCCACGATAAATCATATTGCATCTCTCCATCGAAGGCTTATAGGCTTTTCACACTGACGACCATCCACCATCCACCATCCATTTCGGGGATGGTCCGTAAGGTTTTGCCGTTCCGAAAATTTCCCAGTTAGTCCACCATCCATTTTGGATGTTCCTAAACCGCACGTTTCTATGCGATAGTTAGCCGATGGTTTTCAAATGCAACTCTGAATAATTGTCATTCACAATGGAAAAATGGTATTCACTGCGAAAACGTAAACAATGATTGTGACAAAATTAACAAAAAACAAAAACAGTGTGTGTGTGTGTGTGTGTGTGTGTGTGTGTGTGTTTAGCTTCAATTTCGTTTACTATATGGTCTAATCGTACGCCGCATCGACCCAATGTGAATAAATTTGACTAAAATCAACAAACGTTGAATTGGGAACGGATATGATATACCTACCGACAATGAATGTGTCTGTACTGTCTTCGTACCTTGTTTCTTAACCTTTAGTTTTTCTTTCAAATTAGTTACAACTACAAATTTCAACTGTATGCATATGTGAACGTATTTTCTATAGTTTCCATTAGCTAACTTCAACTCCAACTGCAAATGTGTAGGATCTCTGCACTTCATAACTCTTCTTGAACTTCGTCTCTGATACGATACCGACTCGGTAAAAGAATATGTAAGAGACAATAAATATATATGGGGTGTGTGTGTGTGGGCAATATCTATTCTTCATCCGAGTCTCCCTCGCTGGAGTAATGTGTTATTTGTGGGCGACGAACAAACGGCGCAGTTATCACTTGTGCAATGCGTCTGTAATGATTCAGCCATTCCTCCAGCATTTGTGCCACCAGAAGGGGACGTTTGCCCAGTTTTAAAAAGGAAGTTTAAAAACCAATTTATATGTAAACATATTGCTGAAGTTCTTATTAATCAACATTATTAGTTGGTGCAAGAAAATATTTTGCTGTGCAACCACAGCCGAAATAATTGCTATATCTCTATCATCCATTATTAAGAATTAATAAATCTTCCGCGCAAATTTAATGAACTTGTTATTGGCATCAGCTGTTTTTGATGGATGTTGGATGGTGGATGGTGGATGGTGGCAGTGTGAATCGGAGTTTCACATTTGTCAAAAAATCCCACCATTCCCCCGGGATGGGCTCAGTGTGCAGAGGCTATTACGTGCTGCCAGCAATCAGACAATCAATTTGGCTGCCAAAGATTTCCTATATTTGTATTTCCAAATCAAAGTAAAAGTTGAAACAAATTGAAGTTCCATCCCATCGGCGGCATCGGCAATCCGGCGGATCATCTCTTCAGACGGACTTCAGACCGCAGAATAATAATTAAACTGCACGCTCGGCTACATCCCAAAAATAATAATAATCAACATTTGTGTCTTTTGATTGATAGTTTTTCGTACTCCCCGGCTTCGTCTTCACGCCTACGTGCATCCGTAAGATACTGCCTAGAGGCGGGGGATGGAGCGGCGCCTGTGGGAGGCTGGCAGGAGGAGGAGGTTTTCGGTTGATGTTTCAATTGTTCGATCCGCCTGACTTCATTTTTCATGGCATCTTGGATTTTTTTGTGCTGGGGCTGTTGGACTTTTGTCTCTTCCTTAATTCAACTTATAAATTGCATTACGTGGCTAAGACTTAGCGAAAAAAAAACACACAACAGATTGGGAAAACGAGAAAAATGGCAGAAAATATTTCAAGCTTGACTGTGCATTCCCCATTTCTCTCTCTCTTTCTCTCTCTCTCTCTCTCTCTTATCTTTCTCTGGGTCTATTCTCGCTGCTCATTTCTCATTTCTCACTCAACTGTCTGGCCACAAATTTAATTAAAAATTCTTCCACTTCTTCCTCTTTCTCTGTGTTCCCTTTGTTTTTTCTTCCTTCTGCGTATTAATTGCATCACTAAATTTTTTAATGCGCGAAAAGTGCGAAAATTGCATTGTGAATACAAAAGAAAGAGAATGCAGCAACAACTGCTACCAGGAATGACTGAATGAATGACCGACTGACTGACTGCATGAATGAAAACGAATCAAGTACAGTTGTGCACAGCTAAAGTTTTCAAAACGACTACAAACAACAGGAATTGAAGCCAACCAGATAACTGTTTTTTTGGGTTGTTTGCGGAATAAACCTACAAATACCCTCCAGAGATGGAAATTTTTAAAAATTATTAGCTGCAGGATTGCATATACGATATGCCTATCCGTTTTCATAGCCATATCCTATCGTAGATCCTTCAAAGTTACCAAATTTAACAGAACCATAATATAATAAAATATATATAATATAATATAATGCTGTAGTTGATGTTCTATTCCATTAAACTTGCCAACAGATATTCCCTCTATAATCTTCCATCCCATAATAATCCTATACTGAAGTCTACAAAAGCTGTCTGAATTGGGAAATCCTATAGACATTTTCAAAGAGCAGCTCTTCAGAATTCTTGCAGCTCTGTTGGGTACAGGTTCTTCCCGATTAAGAACCTTGATCAAACCCACTACTGCCTCTTCAGCCCCTTTCTGCCTCTTCCAGGGTATCCCCCTCTGGAAGGGTATGCACTAAAAGATGCAACTTTTTGTTTTCTCACCCAAAAAACTTGAAAGGTGCAAATGATTTTTCTCTTTCTATCCTTCTCTCTCTTGGATTCTCTGTCCGTTTCAGGTGTTTGTTGTTTCTTTTGCTGTGGCCGCATAATTATTCACTCTTTTTTTGTGTTTTTGTTGTTTCTGGTTTTTTTCTGTGGCTTTGGAAATTTGCATTTTTAGACAATGGTCCAGCGGTTGATTTTTTCTTCTATCTGTTTTTGCGTTTTTTTTCCGTCTATTTGGCTTTGGGGCTCGAGGCTCGTTGGGCAAGAGGCAATCTTCTGCCTCCCATCACACCTTTCGGGCCGAAAAATGTTTTAATTGAAGTTTTATTTAACAAAAGCTTGGGTCCCACTTCTTGTGGGTCTCTGTGGGCGTAGGGCTTTGGGGCCGGGGGGCGGCAGTGGGGTTTTTTGGCTCACATAATGCTGTTAAGCATTTAAGTGGATTAGAATTTTTCGAGGTGGTTTCTGGCCCAAAAGGGGAGATTTTTCTCTGTGTGGGAAAAGTTGTCAATTGAAAAGTTTATATATAGACGAGGGGGCGTGAGGTGCTATGCGGAGTTCTATATATAGAGTTCGGCTGGAGTGCTGCAGTGTCGGAGTGCCGGACTGTGTGCACAGGTTGATAATCTCTTGGGTCAGCTCTGAGGGCAAATGAATTAAGTGGAGAGGTGGGGGAGGGGTGCGATTTTTGAGGTTCGTTGTTTGAGCTTTGGCCAGCCTTTTGGGTTTGTATTAATTTGATATCTTTTTTAGAGCAGATTTAACTTTTGGGGGAACGTTTTTGAGCTGGGAACATCTAAAAAAGGACCAAAATATGTATTTAAAAAGAGTTTTGATTAATAATCGATTAATTATCGATAATAATAAGAAGCTTCACCTTTAATAAGGCGACTTCTATTAACAAAATGAGCCCCTTCAATCCCAATAACTAAATTGCCTGATCCCCACAGCGTCAACTTATTATTCAATAAATTTCCTTGGGGAAATCCTCCGCCATTTTGTGGGTAAGGGTAAGGGGAAGGAAGCTTGAATAAATTCCAGTGCGACCGCTGCCAGGAAAATCCCCTTTTAAACACGACGCTGGCTTTTGTCATCTCATTCTC